TCGATCATTTCAAAAATTTATTTCTCAAAAACTAAAAGCGATTTTTCAAAACGGCTTGTTGCATTCAAAAGAGGATACTATAATTAATAATTGGTGATACTCCCACAAGGAGCCTTCAAGAAATTAATTTTATAGCGAATTTTGAAAATTATCGATGAAAATTCCAACATCGAAAATGTTATCGAATCTTCAAATATTGTTTTCTCAAAAACTAAAGGTTATTTTTCAAAACGGGTTGGTTCATTGGAAAGAGGACACTTTTACTAACACTTTGGCAAATTTTCATATTCATATTCCAAGAAATGAATTTTATACGAATTTTTAAAACTTAATCGGCGAAAATTGCAAAATTTGAAAAAATTGTCGATTATTTCAAAAATTTATATCTCAAAAACTAAAAGCAATTTTTCAAAACGGCTTGTTGCATTAAAAAGAGGATACTTTAATTAATAATTGGTGATATTTCCATAATGATCCTTCAAGAAATTAATTTTATAGCGAATTTTGAAAACTATCGATGATATATCATAGATATGTTAGTTACATTTTTGTTGCAACTATGCGATTTTAAGGTTCAAATATAATCATCTACTATCCGTCTACTTTAAATCTACGTCATTTTTGCTTCAAGTCTTCACCATGTTTCTGCCAAATCAAGTACAAAATACAAAATGTTGAAACCAAGGGAGATTACTTCCCCTTTTTGAACTACACGATACGGCAAACAGATATACTGGTTCTTGGCTTTGCATGCTATCAGCAAGACTGAAATACATCAAGACTGGACTCCTAGAGTGGAGATCTAACAGTATATCAAGTATCGTTTAAGATTGTAAAAAATCTTCATATATGTTTATTAAATCTGCATCAAATCTCCATTAATTTGTACATGTTTTATCTCTCCATCATGCCACATCAAAATCGCAACAAAATCATCTCTGCATCAAGGTTCAACACTGTTCTATCAAGTCAAGTCACCATCAGGTTTGCCTCAACACTGCATCAAATATGATCTAATAGATTATTTTTTATGATCTGCATAAAAACAAAATTTAAGGGAGTAGATGCATTGTGTTCCTATCGAGTCTATTTGTAACAAGTCTTTACAATGCCCATCTCATTTTTCCATGTTTCCATTAGGTTGCGTCTGTACAGCGTCAAATCAAGACTGCGTAATATCAATATCGCAATAGTGCAAGACTATTTTAAGACTACATAAAATCATTTCATAGTTATTGTAGAATTTGTATTTAATTTTTGAAGTTTGCTTCAATTCCCCATTATGTCTATTGATTTGATAGATGTAGTAAGTCTGTTTCAATCAAATCAAGTATCATGTTCTAGTCTTTATTAAGTCTATATCAAGTCTTTGAAACCTGTATTACATTACACCTCTACAAAATCTACTTTAACTCCCCATCATGCAATGAGAAAATTCCCTATAAAGTCCACATCCTCTCTGTATCAAGTTATCACCATGTTTTAATCAAGTCAAGGTTCCATTAAGTCTACATCATCTCTGCATCAAATCTTGACCATGTTTATGGGTTAGCACCGTATCATATCTCTATCGAATTTGCATAAATACTATATCTAGACTGTATCTACAGTTCTTATTAAATTTGTAACAATTCACGAATGCAGTGTCTGCTGGGTGGATTGAGTTCTCAACGACGCTGTTGAGAATGTTAGGAAATAAAAGATGATTTTTACTATTAGTCATCAAATGAGATAGTAAGGATAAAGAACAACAAATAAACCTACATATTAAGAGTACGCTTGGATAGAAAGATGCACAGAAACGCAAGGTTTGAAAAAGTCGAAATGTGTATCTCTAACGAAGAGATCAGAATATGCACAAATAGAGTCTACACTGCACATATCATGCGAATGAGAGAAGATAGATGGCCCAAAAAAGCACTAAACTACGTTCCGAAACAGAGAAGGAAAAGAGGGAAAGCAGCGAAGACATGGATGGAAACAATAAAAGATGCAACTATGGACAGAGCGGAATTGGAGAGGAAGAATGTCAAGGCCATAATAAGCCAATATACAACTAATCTTTGAAGCTTGCATCAAAACAACTACGAGTAGTGCCTACGTGAAATTTACATCACATTTCTATCGAGTCAAGTCGGCACAGAATCTCTTTTAAGATTCCAGCTAGATAGTATCATATCTCCATATGGTCTGCTGCATCAATACTGCATCTAGGACTCTACCATGTATCTGTTGCATTTGTATTGACTTTGCAGTTTACATGAAATCTCTTGATGTAGGATAGATGATCATGCTATGAGACATCTCCCTATAAAGTGTGCATTACTTCTACATCAAGTTTTCATCATATTCTTATGAAGTCAAGTGTGCAAGAGTCAAGTCTCCACAAAGACTGCATTATATCCTAGTACGTTTTAAGACTCCAACAAATATCTGAAGTCCATATCATCAATATCCTCATCGGGTCGATATTAAAAGTATTATAAAAAGTCAATACAATTTCCTTGACCGTAAGATTAGCAGTTTGAGATGAGATTTGAAATGTCAAACGCGTGAAATGTCAAATGGCTGTTTTTGGGAAGAGTTTTAGATTTCTATTAAACAATTACAAAATTTAGCGCAGTTATCGAAATATTTTCGAAATTACTGTGAACGCAGCGACTCAATGAATCAGAAGTAAAACTACAGATGGTGTTTGAATTAAATAATAGCGAGTGCGCAGAGTCCTGCTTATCATAGAAGTTATGTTTAGAAAAGTTTTGATTAGGCTATAAAAATTCATATTACAAATTGCGATTTTAATACTAAAGTTATGTTTTAAAATATTAAAAGTAGAAACTTATTAAATTTTGTGTAAACTTTAAAAGCTTATCCACAGATGGCGCTTAGTGATTCTTCTTAGAAATTCTTTTTCGATTGTTTAGCCAAAATACAAAATTATTTTGTTTAAATTAAAAACGAATAATTTGATTTAACTCGAACTTGGTATAATTCGATAAATTTATGTCATAATATATATGTTATTATGTCATAAGTAATTTTTTATTTCTATTTATATCTTGTAATATAAGCTTGCAAGTTTCGACGCAAACAAATTCCATAACCAGAGTTCGTATCAGAGAGATGAAGCCTTTCAACGCTTTGAAAAGGGCCACGAAGTCGATCGCTAGACGCAATCGAGAAACCGCCACGTAATTAGACTTCTGAAGAACTCCCATCATCTCTTTCGACGAAGCGTCTCGATCTCAGAGGAAGCTTTTTAATTAAAATTATCCAAATTAAAATTTTTCCAACCCCGATTTTTGAAGGTTTAATATTCAAACTTTTCTCCGTCAAACAAAAAGTGGATGTAAGGATAAATAAATTTGAATTATATTGATATTTACACGGATATGATTGGATTCACTTTGGACGGAATAAAGGATGGAAAAAATAAAAAGGGGGAAAAAGTGATGCGTTAAAATTGTCACCACGTCTCGGAGAATGAGATATCTCGGGTATTATCATATCTAAATAGAAGGAGTACGAGATCTATGGGTTCCTCTGTCGTAGGAATCGGAGCCACCTTCACCCACTTTCGGCTTTTCCAGTTTATCACCGCGAAGTCCGCAGTGGATGGGGCTCAGATTTTGTCGAGCACTCGCACATACATGAATATCTGATTTAAATAAAATATTGCGTTTTGAAAGAAGGAAATATATTTGTGCTGAAGCGGATTTACTTTTTACAATTTTTCTTTTCACTAACAAAACATTAATATTTAAAATAATAAATGCGTCTCTGAAGACGGCTTAATCCGAAATGTTTTAGGTCTAGTGTTAATTCTAGTTTTAATTGTAATTCTGCGCTAGATTGGTAGCACTGTACCTAGAAGAAATTGGGTGTGGCCGTCTAATATAAGTTCTAGTGACCGATCCAACTCATAAATTGCTTAACAGATTTTACATGACATTGATTTATACTGTACCAAATTTCAGCGCTTTACTGTAAATAGTGTTTAAGATATTTGGAAAAATGTGTTAAAATTTCATAACTTTGATGGCCTGTATCTTTGAAATTTGAAGACTTTTACTAATTTTTTTTTTACATGAATCGTCATTTTCACTCTAGTATATGTCTCCGAAACACCCTGTATACGCTATTTGTGATTTAAATGAATCATGTGCATATTCTGGTTATAGTTGTTTATTTGTATTGTTCTTAGTTTCTTCCTTGATATGGTAACCAACATTGTTATCTAAAACTGGATGCATAGGTTCTTTTTTGCATATAAATATATATATTTTTTGCAAATATTTTCTGAAAATATTTAATCAGCAAATTAGAATCAAAGCAGTAACTGAACCGTTTACACCATTAAACGTCAAAAAAATGGCAGTTACAACAAATTATGGCGCAATTATGGACCAGATTTCTTAGAGAATTTTGAGGTTGTTCTTGAACAGCCAAGAGCACATTTAATCCAGCCCAACCAAATCTATATTTTTATTGAACTAAAATTCAGGAAATCTTTACATTTTAAGTACTAGAACCACTGCTTCGGTAGCATGGCTACCTCGGCTTCTAAGTAATGTATTTGTATTAAAGAACACTAGTATATTTTAAG